AAACACAGTCGTAATCAACATGGATGACAATAATCCCCATGTTGATTATGGAATTGGAAGAAATACTCCACCTGAATTGATATCTGTAGAATTACATGGAAAGAGCATTATCCTTCAATGCAACATCACGTAGTATAAACAGGATAAACATTCATGAAAAACATTCAAAGAGTAATTTTGCCATTTTACTAATTGTCTAAGTGTCTTACACGGTTTCACAACATTCCAATCAAATCAAAATGCAAAAGGCAAAATAGATATCCTGAGAAATTACTGATTTTTAACACATTTATCATCCTTTAAATTGTGGAAGAAAATGTTTCTCTCAGTATTCACTAACTCAAGTAGGAAGAGAAGTAGTATTACAACTATTGCAATTGTACCACTTTAGTTCAAAAGACTATTGTGATGTGAAACCATGTTTGAAGAGCACTGTGAGAACCTCTACATTTCTACAGTCAATTTCCTTGTATTACTTGACATAGGGTCAGAGTCTAACATGTGTGTCATTTCCCAGGTTAGGTTGGTTTATTAGACAAGATTGTCGGGCCGCTTCCAACAAATGTTCCTGGGAACCATTCCTACCCAGATTCCTCAAGGGAGATAATTGTGGAAAAATACTTAGGTCATGCATTATAATTAAACCCTACAAACACTGTATCATCTAGAATTTAACACGGAAGGACGTTCACAAATTCCCCTGTAACATTTCAACCTTTTAGTATTTCATAGGTCCATTGCTGTCAGCAATATAACCTGTTAGAACCAGAAAATTACACAAGTAGAAAAACACAAACAACTTAATAATGTATATTCCATAATTGGAAATAGAAAATTTACAACATCCGGACATCTGGTACAGTTGGCACAGATGGACTGAGGTTGGGTGGGTCATGCTTTATACTGGTAACCATAGAAACATTTTTTTGACACATCTTACATTAAATGTTTATAAAATGGTACCTACTAATGTTCACAATAGCTTAAAACCAAGAACATTTATCAATGTTGTTTTTTCCATAAGGATCACATTAGGTTGATTTGGTGTGAAACACCGCACTCAGCAATATTCCAGCTATATGGCGTGGGTCTGTATATAATCGTGGTCTGACCAGACAATCCAGTTATCAACAGCATGAGCATCAATCTACCCAACTGGGATCGACGATGACATGCATCACATTAGGTCATACAGCATATCTTTGAAATCTGTGGATTAGGATAAACAGGTCCTAAACAATGTATCCCAATCCTCCAAAATATCTCCTTAGGTGTGTATACCTAAACACAACGTGACACACCAAGAGTTTTCAGTGTCTGACAGTTTAAATGGAATTCATATTCAGAATAGTAGCAGTATTTCAAAGTGTTTAAGCACATATCAGTTTACACATTAAGCATGGTGGCGAAGTTCTTCAATCCTGTGTCGGTTGGCAACCATGTAACAGTGAGATTCCCACATCATGTTGATTAGTTTGGAGTTGTCATGGCAATCAAGCGCTACATTTTCCGAGAGTTGTGGGCTGTAGCGGTAGAAAGGGACGTTGATCATGCTGCACCATGCACGGGCTCGGTCCACAGGTCTCCCCTCCGATACAGTAGCCTGAAGGATTGCATAGCAACTGTGAGATCTCTTGGAGACAAGGAATGAGGAATGACAGAGGCCCTTTTTGGTGCCATTTGCAATTGGTGATTGTAAACTTACAGAAAACGTATAATTTAGGAACATTCTTGTACATGTCTCTTTACTTTCAATCATGTGATCACCAGATCAACTCAGTTCATATAAGCAATATGCTTGCTGACAACCTGTAAAATCAGAAGCTATCTCTCTACATTTAGTGTTGTAGTAAGTAAAAAACATTATGTAATTTTTGGAGTAAAATTGATATTTTATACTTATCCTGACTCATGCTCTTTTTGCTTGTCTTCTTCTTCTTGCGAACATAGTGGAACACTTGTATCTCCCTAATTGAAGCTCCCTTCAATTTAAAATCACTAATTAGTATTCACCACGAGTTACCTCCTTTCCACAAGCTCGGGAACGAGGGCACGAGGGCGCCACCTCTACCCATGTGCCTCACTCTCTCCTCATATACTGAGCCCAACATTTGAATTTACAGGGAAATCCAAAGTGTTATTTGGGGAGGATGGGAGGGCTGACCTCATGAGTCAGGATAAGTATAAAATATCAATTTTACTCCAAAAATTACATATTTTTCCTTATCCTGACTCATGCTCTTTTTGTAGCATCCTACAGAACGGAGGTGGGAATATCTAATACTTTGGATTTTTAATAATTAGTGATTTGAACTGTGATGATTGTAATAACCCTATGGGAACTTCATAAAGGCACTGAACTGATGAATTCCTGCTGCTAACTTATCAGCTGCCATATAAAAGGTTATTACCATGTACTTATTATGATAAAGTATATATAACATTAATACAATGCTTAAGACTAATAGACTTAAGCTTGTTAATATGCTAGTATAAACTCCTTAGAGTTTGTTAGCTAAAATACTTTAAGATATAACATAGTACTAAGCTTAAGATATGATTAAACTTAAGCTAATTATATAATAGCAAACTCTTTAGAGTTTGTTAGTTAATATACTTATATGATATAGATATAATGCTGAGCTTAAGATATGAATAAGCTTTAGCTACATATATAATAGCAAAAACTCTGTAGAGTTTGTTAGCTAATATATTTTATAATATGAGTATATTACTGTGCTTAAGCTATAATTAACTTAAGCTACATATATAATAGCCAAACTCTGTAGAGTTTGTTAGCTAATATATTTTTATAATATGAGTATAGTACTGTGCTTAAGCTATAATTAACTTAAGCTACATATATAATAGCCAAACTCTGTAGAGTTTGTTAGCTAATATATATTTATAATATTAGTATAGTACTGAGCTTAAGATATAATTAACTTAAGCTACATATATATAGCAAAACTCTGTAGGGTTTTGTTAGCTAATATATTTTACAATATGAGTATAGTAGTGTGCTTAAGATATAATTAACTTAAGCTACATATATAATAGCAAAACTCCGTAGAGTTTGTTAGCTAATATATTTTACAATATGAGTATAGTAGTGTGCTTAAGATATAATGAACTTAAGCTACATATATAATAGCAGAACTCCGTAGAGTTTGTTAGCTAATATATTTTTACAATATGAGTATAGTATTGTGCTTAAGATATTATTAACTTAAGCTACATATATAATAACCAAAAACTCTGTAGAGTTTATTAGCTAATATGTTTATAGTGTAACCATAGTACTAAGCTTAAGATAAGATTAGACTTAAGCTAAATGTATATAGCAAAATAAACTCCTTAGAGTTTATTAACTAATATACTTTTATGTTAAAAACATAGTACTGAGCTTAAGTTATGATGAAACTTAAGCTATATATATATAATAACAAAACTCCGCCGAAGTTTGTTAGCTATCTACCTTTATAATGTAAACATACTGCTTAAGATATGATGAAAACTTAAGCTAATTGTATAATAGCCAAAACAACCCTTTAGAGTTTGTTAGCTATGATATAAACCCTAGTATTGAGCTTATGAAGGAAAACTTAAGCTACATATATAATAGCAAGAACTCCGTGAGAGTTTGTTAGCTAATACATGTTATAATGTAACCATAAAGCTTAAAATATGATGAAACTTAAGCGAAATATATAATAGCAAAACCCTCTTTTAGAGTTTTGATAGCTAATATACCTATATGATATAAACATAGTAATAATGCTTAAGATATGAATAAGCTTAAGTTACATATATAATAGCTAAAACTCTGTAGAGTTTGTTAGCTAATACATGTTATAATATAACCATATTGCTTAGAAATATGATGATACTTAAGCCAAATAGCAAAAACTCTTTAGAGTTTGTTAGCTAATCTACTTATATGATATAAACATAGTACTAAGCTTAAGATATGAATAAGCTTAAGCTACCTATATAATAGCAAAACTCCTTAGAGTTTGTTAGCCAATATATTTTAATAATATGAGTATAGTACTAGCTTAAGGTATAATTAGCTTAGTTACCTATATAATAGTAAAACTCCATTAGAGTTTGTTAGCTTAATTAACCAAGCTATGTATAAAATAACCAAAAACTCTGTAGAGTTTGTTAGCTAATGCATTTATCATGTAACCATAGTATTACTCTTAAGATATGAATAACTTAAGGTAAATATATATAATAACAAACTCTGTAGAGTTGTTAACTTATATATTGTATGATGTAATAATCATAGTACTGTGATGATAAAAGGAACTTAAGTAAATTATATATAGCATGAAGCTATTTAGTATTGTTATAAGATAAGTAAAAATCTGTTAGATTGACTTATCTTCTCCGAGAACTGTCAGCTGTTGTGCGAGGACCATGGGATCCGAATTGGTGTATACCTGAGAGGCCCTCGGTGGTGATATCTCTCAGATAATGGTTTGCAACCACCATATCAGTTCAAGAAATAAACCCTCCATTATTTCAATCACATTTGTGTAGAACAATTGTAGAAGTTAGCTATAATATCATGAGTATTAAGCTCATGGAGGGTCGGAATAGGTCCATCCCACATATGCACGTAGTATGACAGTTCTGATCCAAATGGAGATATAGTACATGAGACTTCACTCTGCGTAAGTTGATGATAGAGGAAATAATCTGTTGCATTTTTCCCTCCTGTTTGGTTTGGTGGAGATAAATTTACAGTGCTCTTGCTGGCCATCTTGATAGAATCATCGTATCATGGGGTCCAAGTATGTCATCAAGTGTTCATAAACCTCACTTGTGAGGTGTTGAGCACTATATTCAAATCCCCAGGTTGGGCGTGAAATTTCCGTTTTATTCTCCAAACAGAAGTTTAGTAGGTTTACTAACCATCTAGTTGTGTTAGTTAAACTTCGATGAAATTCAGCTGTAGTCTGAAAACGCTGTGGATTTAGATCCACTTGTATCTTTCGTCTAGGTAATTAAGCTACGAAGTCCTTGACGATGTAGGTGCACAACCAGGTGTGTCTGTCCTCGTTGAACTTTATGTAAAATCGCCTGACTGCCCGATCCCTCGTCTTAACTTGACAGGGAGGTCTCTAACTGAAGAAAGGCAGTCTAATCATGAATGTTCAGGTTAACTGGACTGTAATGAGGCTTGCTCGTTCACTGATATATAGTTGTCACTTGTGGCGTAAGTCTTGAACTGTGAATAGAGATCGACCTCTGTGTAGGTCGTTGTCCCTCAGCGTCCAATCAGAACAAAGGCATTTTGATTCTGTATAATACCCGGCTGTGATGTCACCCGGTGTAGCGGGAAAAACCCACCTTGAATAAATTCTTGTCGTCGTTGATATTAGCATAAACGCCGGTCTTCACCGTGCTTCGAAGTTATCCGGTGACCACGGTTTCGAGGGTTAATGGTAACATGCTGAGAAACCTCCGGTGAAATATCTCGCTCTGTAATTTTATGCTGGGTAGGTTATTTTTCCTGGTTGTCGTGAAAGTAATTTCAGTTTTGAATATAATTCCGACTTCCTTATATATAAGGGTATAAACAACTTGCAAGAGTTGTGAGCTTGTAGACTGTATACATGAATGTATCGTCATAATTGTAGAATTAACGTTGAACTTGTTGTACATATTTCTTCTCAGAAACTTTGGACGATTAAGAGTTATACTGGCTGGAACAAGGCTGCTGTTCAATTTTCGATATTGAATTGTCTGCAGATATGCGTAATGGACACGCATGTAGATAATCGTATCGTCGTCGAGTTGTATATTAGCAATTTATCACGAATAGTTGATTTCTGTGAAGATCTATGAAATGTCGTTGACTAATAATACAGCGGCGTTCTGTGTTGTAAATAGCCTGAGCAATTATCTTACGGCGTGGAAGCTTATAGGCGGCATCTGGCATACAGTTGATAATCAACTTATGCGGCGTCTTGAACGGACTGACGAGTAGCTATATATGACGAAGTGGCTAGTATATGGAAACCTTGGAGGACACTTCCTCGGTGAGCGCCGGAGACTTGCGAAGTTCTCGAAGTATCCCTTCTAGATCTTCTGGGTGAAGTAGACTTGGAGCCACTTAGCCTTGGCGACCATCGCGAAGGTGTCGAATCAAAGCCCGATTAGTATATATATATATATATAAATATATATATGAAGCTTGCTTCGTGAACAGCCTCTGTGTTTAACAGGATGTGGGATCGTGGCGCTTGCCTAAAATAGGGCGCATGGATCATCTTATCATATTCAGAAGTCGTATTACGAAGTCTGGTGATAAGTGTCTAATTGATCGTTCTAGATCTATTTAGGCCAGCGAACATCACGTCGTCATGGATTCAACAGAACCAATATCGATTGTAGTTCTTATACTTGATATCGATGATCAACTTGTCTATGGGTTGATCTTCTGGAGACTTAATGAGGAGAGCGTTGATAGTTTGTGAAGCTCTTGTATAGTCCCTCGATGTCCTTCTAGATGATGATGATCTGGATTCAGGTGTCCTTGGCGCATGCCTTCGCCGAAGCTTCCTCTGCGTCGGTCGAGAGAACGGCGATATGACCTTCAGCGAAGGCTTCCGTGATGTCTGATGGTCGAGTCCACATCTAGGGATGAAACCGCATAAGGTGATGATCTATCCTGCCTTGGCGAAGTCCTTCGGCGAAGGCTGTACATCTAGGTTCTTTCCGCCTTGGCGAAGGCTGTACATCTAGGTCCTTTCGCGCGAAGCTGCTGGCTGTACATCTAGGTCGCCGTCAAGGTGGTCCGTGACTTCCTTCGCGAAGGTGACATCGTCCTGGCTGCTACGCGTTGACGGGGGTGCCTCTGGGGTGCTGTCACGTTGGAGCCTTAGCGAAAACTCGGACCCTGCTACCGCAGATATTGGTCCTCCATGATGTTCATAATTTGTCGCATCATGTCTTCTGGGATGGTCTGCGGCGAGGTAAATCGGTGCTTTATCTGCGGTGTTAATGGAGGGTCCACGGAAAAATGCGTCCGACATCAGTGTAGAGGCATCAGGCTGCATGGTGATCTCTGCTGATGTGCGTTGTAGCTATCACCGGTGCGTTTCTTGTGAAATGCGTCGGGGATGATGATCAGCTGATCATCGTAGAGGTCCAGGTCATCGGCTGGAACAATCTCGGTTGAGAAAGTCCTAGTAGACCGTTGATTTTCCCTCAGAATTCGGCGCTGCCCTGGGTGTCGCGGCGTCTGCGTTGAGTGTTAGTAATGATGGGACCCTCAGGGCCGATCATCGCATATCTCGCGTTGGTACATCAGGCTGCATGCTGATCTGTGCGACATCGGTCAATCTTTGATGTACATCGGTATGATGACCGGCTGATCATCATACAGGCCCAAAACGATGGGAGCGGTCACCGGTTGTTGAGATGTAGTAGAAAAACCCTCTAGTCTTCTGCTGCGGCGATGGGATGTCTGGGGAAGCAGGATGCTTCTTGGAGATGGCGGACTCGTCCACACCTCTCCACCACTCTAGCGGAACACCACACGGGGAGAATTGCCAACAGCAGTAGACTGGCGAGGGGTTCCGTGTATCAGTCATACTAGACTCTGCATCTGCGACCTATCTGCTGTAATGCGTGCCAAGCATAAAGTAAATATTAATAAAGGTAGAATTGGATAAATTAGTACGCAACTGCAATGTGAATATAATAAACATGGCGCCCGTTACATCATATTAAAGAAGCGGATCAGCAGCAGCATAAAAAGCGTAATCTGCAATGAGTACAGAATTTTCATCAACGTAATCCACTGAAACAAACCACGGCGTCCGTGAATAAACTGTAGAAAAACGACTAAATATCAATATATAATCGTTGAAGGATACTAGCTAAACCTCTATAGATGTCTATACGAGGTAACTAACTAAATATAATTCAAAGGATATAGTGTGTCGGGAGACACAGGCGCTCTCACGTCCAGCTCACTGGGCGAAGAAGGAGAGAGTGAGGCACATGGGTAGAGGTGGCGCCCTCGTTCACGCGCTTGTGGAAAGGAGGTAACTCGTGGTGAATACTAATTAGTGATTTTAAATTGAAGGGAGCTTCAATTAGGGAGATACAAGTGTTCCACTATGTTCGCAAGAAGAAGAAGACAAGCAAAAAGAGCATGAGTCAGGATAAGGAAAAATATAATGTTTAGGAAACTCATGCCCATTTCTCATGTATATCAGCACATCAGAGTTACCTTCCTTTGGCAAGGGAGGGAAATAACATTGTTGGCAATACTTGATTCATTTCTATTACACTGATCAATATGATTATCAAGCCTTCAAGTTGGTTTCATATTACTGCAATGGCTTGACAAATATCGCAATACCATTGCAGTGTGGGATACCATTGCAATGCTATCACAATACTTAAAACAGACCCAAGAGTGGAGATACATCAATTATGTAAGAGATAAGCATTATGTGTTCAAGGTCCTCGGGTGTTATTGAGAATTTCTTGACCAACTGAGCTGCATGCTTTGATGTCCAATTTTCATGCGACAACAACAATATTCTTTAAAGTTACTGAATCACTGTAAGTATATGTTTTTGTTTGCACCCGGTCAATGAATTACCAGAAGAGACACCCATAACAGCTTTGCAGCATGTCCTTCTCGGAAAACATTCTGTACCACATTCTGTGGGACATTGACACCACGCATCCCAGTGGCAATAACCTTCATTCTGAAGAAAACAAAAGCGGAAAAACTATTTCATTGTTATGAATAACAGAAATTCAACATTAGAAGCTTTATGGCATGAAATTCAAAATGGCAACTTCCATTCTAGACTGGTCTTGGACAAACACAAACTTGTGAGCTGAAAAATGGAATTGTGGAATGTCTAATAGGAGGCTCCGATTGTATGGCAGGATTTCCCTTTGGCTAATAAAGTTTCATTTCACATGTTTGAAATCTTGATCTTATATGCAAAACTTCGATTTGTTGGAAGAATGGTCAGTCTGATTTTAAGGATCTTCCAGACACAAGAGTGTTTACTAGCCTAAGTTAAAGTCTAGCTAGATTTCCCACTTGCCATTTCAGGCCCTATCAAGTACATGTATATAATAGTGCAAGTCTCACATTTTGTTTAAGTCCCAGGTTGTATTCATGGATCTCTGTCAGTATGTCTAGGGTGGGGTTGTTGGAAATGAGCCCGCCGTCCAGGAACTTGCCGTACGCCCTGAAGTAGGTGGGTGCTGCTCCACTACACCGTGCTGCCAGCCATATTGGCTGTTCTGAAGGAGACAATCCATGGTTCTCTTATTGTCATGTCATTACAAAGCTACAACAGTAAGCTGCATTGTTCAATTATATCTGGATGACATACTTTTCCACTGTTTCATCTCCAGCATTGCTAACACAAAGGATGAGGTATGATAAATGTTTAAGAATTAAGCAGAACTCAAAATAGTCATGAAAGTTATCCAAAGTGTTACTTTCACCAACAAAGATCATATTTTCTCATAAAACCTTTCAAGTGTATAACACAAAACCCAGACTACAAATCATGTTAAGTAATGTTTTTCTGATATTTAAACTTTAAAATGTCAAAAGTATTCTGTAACTATGATTTTATTCCTTCCTTGAGGGTCTTTGTCCTACCTCAACCTTTGTGACACTGACTTACTCTCAGGTTCTTGAACCTCCACCAGTTTCACGTCCTTGTCGTCTCTGTGGGGGGTCTTCAGGAACTTCCTGTAGGTGCGGAACATGTGCAGCTCTGCAGGGTTGCGGTCTGCCAGGACAGCCGTCACCAGCACTCTGAAACACCAGTGAGTTAAGATTTTAAGTCACATCAGCCATATTTCAGCCATATTGTGACCTGAAACACCACATGCGTGTTTCAGTCACACAAGCTACCATGGGAAATATTTGGTAGAGAATCAATTATTTTAATACCTAGATTAAAAATGCAAGAGCTGAACTGAACTTAATGCATTTATTTACTGTCCCAAGTTTCAGGAAATTGTTTGAAAAAGACATAGCGATGTGTGTGTCTGTGTGCCTGCCTGCTTGTATGAGGACTCATGCCGTTTTTTCACTGCCAGCCAACTTAGATTCTGTGTAACATGGATAACCCTCTCTGACTTGGTATACGGACTCAGAGCTGAAAGTCCCTGTTTCATCCCAGAGCAACAACAAGTACCAATGTTTAACAGCTGTTGGTATCAAGTAGCAGGGACTGAACCCCAGACCTTCCTACCTCAAGGCAGACACTCTATCTACTACCCCACCAAGGTTTCTTCTCAGGTTGTAACCAACCATGTTAAAGCCATTATGATAATTTTTCCCTCTCGTTGCCTTTTTGTAGTAATGTAAGTGATGGTATTTAGACATATCTGACTAAGTTTCAAACCTAAGTAATACTTACTTTGGATGTACTATGTCAGTCATCACAGGTGTCTCGCCAAACTCTCTCTTCAACATGGCCTCAAACGGCTCTGATGAGTAAGGTCGTCTGCCCTTAAAAACTTCATCTTTCAAGCGGAAATACACACCTTTCAGATACTGGAGGGAAAACCCTGAAAAACACAATTTATCATTGAGGAGTTCCTAGGCCTAGGCCAGATTCTCCCGGGGAAAGTTAAGACCGGGGAAGAAATGGCCTGCTACACAGGATCTCCACAGGTGCTACTGCTTATAAATGTATACAGACATTTAAAACTGGTCATACCATTCTGGATTTAGACAGATGCAATCAAATAAAAGTAGATCTTGTATTACATATACACTAACCTTCATGAATTTTTCAAAAGTATTTTTGCAGATTTAATATCTTTCTCAAGACAAGTAGCAAAGATATTACTTTTGGAAAAAAAATTCTGAAAAGTTGATTAGCAGCTTCAAGACAAAGATAATCAACTTCTGCCAACAACAACTTTAGTTTTATCCTAGAAACACCTTCATTCTTCACTCGCTAGTAAAGGGATATAACTCTTTTTTTCTGTCCACCATGTACAAGATAATGTACTCACCCCTGGCAATGCCGAGAGCAAGAATACCACCAGTGCTGGTCCCGCCTATCCAGTCAAAGCAGTCTTTGATTGGTCGTCCTGAGGCAGCCTCGATCTCCATCAGCATCTGTATGAGCACCAAGCCACGGATACCTCCCCCCATCCAGACACAACACCTGAATGGATAACACGCACTTCACAAACTCCATTGGTGCTAGATGTATCTCTTTATTATCTCTAGGCTTGTAGATTACCTTTTGAAAATTCAAGTGACATTTGAGACACTTATTTATATAAAATCTGTTTCTGTTTTGTGACGAATCCTTTTGGAGGAACAGTAAAAGAAGTGCCAGTGGACTCCTTATACGATTGTAAAGAACTGTTATTTTCTAGTTTTACAAATCATTGTTTACGTCATGTACTGATAAAAAAAAATCAGGACAAGTCAAGAACTTTAAGATAGGACAGACTGTTTTTGATATATTGACTGAATATCTTTAAAAAAACAAATAGCTATATTATATTATTTATATTTGTAATACCCTTGGTAGTGCAATTTAGCAGAAAAATTTAAGCACTAATACTGTGATAAAAACGTAACTTAATCTTTATTCATCTTATTTTCTGACTGTGTCTTTTAATGCGGATGCGCAGATTGTAACACATATGACAGAAGCTGCATGTCTCCAAGGAACTCACCCGATCTCCGATATGGGAAGGAGCATCCACCATGTCTAACACCGACCCCGCCTTGTGGACGATAGTAGCGTCAGTCGGGACGTGTGCAGACAACATCTCATCAAACAGAGCTGAACAGAGAAGACATGAATTGTATTATCAACACTGTCAGTTATAGTTGTGGAAATGTAATAGAGGTTCTCATAATATGGATTGAGATAAGTATTTGGCTGTTTATTGTACATCGCATGCACAAGACATGTTTTTCGTACCCAGATTTGAAGGGACCTGAAGGGGTTACCTTCTGCACGAGGTATACTATCTGACATATTTTCTATATTTGGTTGCTTTAAAGACAGCAATATTTGGCAAATGAAAAGGATGGATTTCATGATGCACATTCCAAATGATTCAGAACTAGGTGTGTGTGTTGTGGTGAACACAGGGGCCAAGCCTGACAGATCTGGCTGAAGGCACAGTCAACATTTAAAGTATGTGACTAAAAACAGGTGCCCTTCCTCTGTACCTGCCAGTGATAATACTGATCACCATTTTCTCTGTTATACTTTGGCCTGGCACGGAGCTATCTCAGACACAACATTAGTTGCAGAGTTAATGTGTTTGGTCGTGTGGATAAGGTGTCTGTCCTATCAGCAGACTAGAAATGTTATGGATGCAACATTGGAGCAAGTCTCAGTGAATGAGTGTTGGGGAGTATGTGGCATAGCAGGCCATGGAGTCTACCCACAGATCCTTACCTCTAAGAGACTAAAAAAACTGAAACTGGCTGTTCAGCATGACTTTTATACCACATTAGTTATGTGATTTTAAGAATATCTGAGAATTAATGGTCCTTACCTACGCTATCCACTCTCAGAAGACCCCTCATGACCGGGTCGGGGATGCCATTGTGGGTGCCCTCGGGTACACAGCCAGCAAGACAGCCCTTGACGTCCACGCCACAACGCTTGCCCCCCGACACATGCAGGAAGTACAGGATGAGATCCCTGGAGGAACAAACTCAATGTTAACTTGATGTCAAGAGTTCTTTGATGCTGAGTGCATGATGTAAAGAGTCACTTGAAGCCTAGTGTCTAGTGTAAAGAATCACTTGATGATTAGTGCTTGGTACAAACAGGCATTCGATGCTTGCTGCTTTGAGCTTAGAATAAAGTCACGTGATGCTTAGTGCTTGATGTGAAGAGTGCTTTGAGTCTCTTAGCTTAGACCTTGAACACTGGAGTTTAATAAGGAGGGGAAAGTCAGTTGGGAGATAAACATCCTGTATTTAGAAATCTCGGTTACTTGTAGTCTAGATGTTGAGCACATTCTTCTGAATTTTATTTGGAATCTTGTCCTTTAGTATGAGTTTTCAAATGTACCCATAAAGATTACATAATTAAGTATTTCTAAATATTGTCCACTCACTTATTCTTTCCTTTAGACACGGCTGCCAGATGTCGAGCTGTGTGCCGGTTCTTGTTCCTCAAGTTAACACTGGCTCCAAACACAACGAACGTCCGAACAAACTCAATATCATCTTGCTGGTAGAAAGAATGAATGCACTCATAAAAAATATAAACTAAAAGCACTTCAGACATACAAAACAATTTCTGGAGACAATAGTGCATGTTTAACAATTAGTAGTCACAGTGACCTACCTGCACTGCCCAGTGTAGAGGCGTCTCTGCATTCTTGTCGGCCATGTTGCAGTCTGCGCCGTAGCACAACATTGTCATGAGACAGTCCAGACGCTGGGTGAAGATCATCACGTGTAGCGCACTATCCTGTGTGTTGCTCATGGAGTTCATGTCACATCCAGCATGCGCCAGGAACTCTATCACCTACACATACACATACATATTACACTTTCTGCATAAACAAATCACTAACATAACAGAAAATATGATTGAAAACATATGAGAGCAATCCCATGAGACAGTGCCAAGCGTCCATGTTGTTCCCCTCCCCTAGTGCAAAGTGTCCTTTTTAGACAGTGTCAGATTGAGACCCTTCCCCTTTGACAGTGTCAGATGGAGACCCCTCCCCTTTGACAGCGTCAGATTGAGACCCCTCCCCTTAGACAGTGTCCCAGTGAGACCCCTCCCCTTAGACAGTGTCATAGTGAGACCCTTCCCCTCAGACAATGTCATAGTGAGACCCCTCCCCTTAGTGTCAGATTGAGACCCCTCCCCTTAGACAGTGTCAGAGTGAGACCCCTCCCCTCAGACAGTGTCACATTGAGACCCCTCCTTAGACAGTGTCATAGTGAGACCCCTCCCTTAGACAGTGTCAGATTGAGACCCCTCCCCTTAGACAGCGTCAGATTGACAGATTGAGACCCCTTCCCTCAGACAGTGTCAGAGTGAGACCCCTCCCCTCAGACAATGTCATAGTGAGACCCCTCCCCTTAGACAGTGTCAGATTGAGACCCTTCCCCTTTGACAGCGTCAGAGTGACAGATTGAGACCCCTCCCCTCAGACAGTGTCAGATTGAGACCCCTCCCCTTTGACAGCGTCAGATTGACAGATTGAGACCCCTCCCTCAGACAGTGTCAGATTGAGACCCTCCCCTCAGACAGTGTCAGATCCCCTCCCTTCGACAACATCAGATTGAGACCCCTCCCTTCGACAGTGTCAGAGTGAGACCCCTCCCTTTCGACAACATCAGATTGAGACCCCTCCTCCCTCGACAGTGTCAGAGTGAGACTCCTCCTCTTAGACAGTGTCCCAGTGAGACCCCTCCTTAGACAGTGTCATAGTGAGACCCCTCCCCTAGACAGTGTCAGATTGAGACCCTCCCCTTAGTGTCATAGTGAGAACCCTCCCCTTAGACAGTGTCAGATTGAGACCCCTCCCCTTAGACAGCGTCAGACTGAGACTTCTCCCATTCGACAGCGTGAGATTGAGACCCTTCCCCTTAGACAGTGTCAGATTGAGACCCCTCCCCTTATATAGTGTCAGAGTGAGACCCCTCCTCTTAGACAGTGTCCCAGTGAGACCCCTCCCCTTAGTGTCATAGTGAGACCCTTCCCCTTAGACAGTGTCAGATTCAGACCCCTCCCCTTCCACAGCATCAGATTGAGACCCCTCCCCTCAGACAGTGTCAGAGTAAGACCCTTCCCCTTCGACACTGCCCAGTGAGACGCATCACCTACCTCCTTTGACTTTGCCCAGTGTAGTGGGGTACCCCCATACTTGTGATCCCGGGCGCCCAGTTGGTCAGGATGGGACCGACAGATCAGCTCCAGTGACCTGTTTAGTACAGATATTTGGAGTGAGTGAGTGAACACAACATAATACTAAAAACACACAGGGAAAAAGCTTACACAGAGCACCACTGGGCCTATTATTACTTGGTTTACAGAGTTCCTATAAAATGTCAGACCAGTCATACTGATGTAATCCATTGATGACGTTTTGTTGCCACTGTCAAACTGATCTCTGTTGTGTTCTTAATGTTAATAACAACTGCTCATCATGAACTGTGGTTTGTTGTTATTTGGTTGGTTAGAAATTAGAAATATGATCACCATGTTTGGGACAAATTCTCTTCTGAGATGATCAGTTCCAACTAGTGATACAATGTTTGGGNCAGATGACCCACCTGACATCACCAGCATCAACAGCTGCGTGCACAGGCAAACAGGAAGTGGCCGATATCTTGGGGTCAGCACCGACGTGCAGCAACATCTCTGTCGCCTCTGGTAGTTTCTTCTTACATGCCATCAACAATGGCGTCTCTCCTCGCCCGTCTAGCCAGTTCACGACTCCCTCCTTGTCATGACTGGCCACCATCTGTACAAAGAAGAACACTGTTAAAGGGAGACTACTCTACTACCATTTCCAGTGTACACCTCAGCCTTTTAGTTAGTGTGTGACTGATGACGGTGAAACAAAGCATAGCAATTCAGGAAATCATCAACTGCTTGACTGATACAGCGTACAGGAAGCATTGTACCCATGTGGGGAATCAAACCTGGGTCTTCTGTGTGAAGAACCAATGCTTTAACCACTAGGCTACCCCACCATCCGATTCAAAGGAAGAGAACAATTGCCCCTGGAATTTATATTAGTGGAAAGGTGACAAGGTCATTGCCTGTCTATGTGTCACCATGGAAACTAAGTGTTGGTGTGGGGATGGGTTCAAGATATATTTCTCACCAGAGATATGATACACTAGGCAATAATGATGGAATACCAGGTTATCAATGTAAGATCCAACCTCCACTGCTGTGAATGAAATACTCACAAGTTCAGCTAGCCTGTGTCATACAGCAATGTTTGTGCCTGTGATTATCACACCGAAGGTGAACTAATATCTACATATTTGTTTTTGTGTTAAAGATAATGAAACCATACATTCAGTCTAATTCCTGTATTATATATTGAGATTCTCTATTCTGACCACTCTCTCATTACATTTTTCTCCCATTTTTGAATTGATAACTTGATAACATCATTATTGTCCATCCGTATTGTGTTTCATATGACTTGTATCATGAGTGAGTGAGTGAGTTTAGTTTTTAGCCGATTATGGGAATATTCCAGCAATATCAGAATAATCTTCTTAAAGATGTCTAAATTAAGTTCTTTCTCTCATGAACAATTTTCACTTAGATTTTGTTGGGCTAGTGCTTAAGACAGACCAATGCATGTGACACTAGAAACACAAAACCATTTGTGTCACATCAGTAAAATCATCCTCCTGGGAAATTCTTACCCAACTCAGGTTACTTACTGAGAGGCATGATGGGAAGCTGAGGACAGCGTGGTGGTACACGGTGAGGCCATACTTGTCGTTGACATCGATCCTGGCTCCCAACATCAGCAGCTCCTGTAAACACTGCATCTGCTTGCCCTGCACGCTGGTCATCAGGGGAGACAATCCTGTTGCACTACACACCGTGTTGATCGCACTGCAGCCACAACAAATATGTGGACATTACCATGTGTATAAACATCACTGGAAGAGTGAGTGAGTGAGTATGGTTTTATACTGATTTTAGGAATATTCCAGCAATATCATGGCAGAGAACCCCAGAAATGGGCTTCACACATTGTACCCATTTGGGGAATCGAACCTGGGTCTTTAGCAGGACAAGTTGATGCTTTAACCACTAGGCTACCCCACCACCCTATCACTGGAAGATGCTAAATGACACTTGAAAACTTGAAAACTGACAAGTGTTAAATTTTGAACATTTCTGGCTCTGACAGAACATTCCAAACTATCTTGATCTGTCAGAGATCAGATGCAGATCTATCACAGATCTGTCACAAATTGTCTAGCAGACATCAAGACGAATCAGATAGTACCATTGATTGGTCAGCAGCTAGTTAACGATTCAATAGGAACAACCAGCCAAAATCTTGTCACCAACAGAAATCTCAGCATATTCCATTCACTCTACGATACCGAAAATATCATATTCATTTTAAACAAATCTAATTATTTCTGTTTAGATGCCACGCATTTTATTTAATAAAAAACCCTTTTGTGAGATATACATCCTTAATGAAACTGCTGACTAAACTTCTAACTCCCTCTTGTTAGACACAGTGCCTCATTTAACAAACTTAATCCCTTTCCTTGAGAAACAATCTCTAACTAAATCAAGTTCCTTTTCTTGAATATTTCTGAAGCGAATGTGATCACTTGGTGCTCCTACCTTCTGATAATTTCATGTCTGAAGCACTCGTAGAGGCCAGTGTAGGCGGCGATGTGGCATGCGGTCCAGGTGGGGTGTTCGCGGATACAGTCGCTCACCCGCTGCAACACGTCCTCCTGGTTCAGGCTGCTGCTGCTGCTTACAAGGCACACCATCTTCGGGGCCAGGATGTTGAACTGGGACAACGCCTCACCCTCCATCATGATACGGAATATACTGAAAATGATAGCAGGATTTGATTTTGCCACTGAGGTGAATTCACAAGGGGAATAATCCAAAGGAACATACATTAATTGATAGCAGGACCACAGGTAGTCTGTCGTACAGACCCAGTGTAGAATATGTGGCAAGTCTAGATTTCCACAGTCTAAGGGCTCCTTTTCATTGTATGCTAAGCAGCAAAAGAAATGTCAGTTTGGAATTTTCCCCTCGTAGAAATGGATAACTGTATACTCATTTAATGTTTTGATTGTACATTTTTGACAACATCTCCAACTTTACCTGAGCAAAGACATTCCTTCCCAAACTCAGAATGGAACCCAGGAAATGGTCTCAAAAGTGCAACCTGATCTCGGAGATGGTACGGTGTTCTCCATGTTTTTCATGCAACTCATGCTGCACGTGCTGTTCACAACGACCAGTGCTATAAAATGCACCCCCAAACCTGGTTGAAACATTCACATTACAACGTCAGCAGGATGCCACGACTCACGACAGCTGAGGAACCAGACGCCAAGAAGACTTGAAGCTGGCCACACTGCACAAGCCTTTGCCAATCACTTCCAGGTGAAAGTTCGGACCATCTACAGGCTGCAGCAACGTTTACAGGCCACTAACACCACGAATGATCGCCCCCGTACTGGCAGACCAAGGGTGACCACAAGACGACAAGACCGCCATGTTGTGCGACAGCATGTACAGAATCCCTTCACGCAGGCATCCGAAACAGCACGCCAGACAGTGGGAATACACGGAAGACCAATCAGTACTGATACAGTACGCCGACGTCTTAACAGCGGGAACGTCCATTGCTGTAGACCTTACCGTGGACCTATCCTCACCCCTCGTCTTCGGCGTGAACGTCTACAGTTTGCCCTACAACACCAAAACTGGCGATACAGGCAATGGAGAACTGTTCTGTTCACAGATGAGAGTCGGTACTGCGTATCAAGTGCAGATGGCAGAACAAGAATATGGCGACGACGTGGCCAGCGTTACTCAGACCAATGTGTTATGGAAAGAGACTCAATGGGAGGTGCAAGCATTATGGTATGGGGTTGAATAGGCCTGAACAAGAGAGTGGGTCCTGTGGTGTTCCAGAACCTTGGTCCAGGGAGAGGAGGCGGCATCACAGCGGTGCGCTACATCGACCAAGCTCTCAGACGTCATAACACTTTTCGCACGTCACTTGAACAACATTTTCCAGCATGATAACACCCAGGCCATACTGCCAGAGCTACATGGGACTTCCTACAGCAGAACGATGTCAACATTATGCAGTGGCCATCCCTTAGTCCTGATTTAAACCCAATTGAACAACTTTGGGATGAAATTCAGAGGAGACTGAATTATGTCATACCAAGGCCAAACACAGCCGATTTATTACGCCAGGCCTTTCTCAGAGTGTGGTTCAAGGTGCCAATGGCCTTCATCAATCGATTGGTGCACTCCATGCATAGACGATGTGCTGCAGTTATTGCCGCTCGTGGTGGTCACACTCGATACTGAAGTCAAGAGTCATAATGGACTGCAAACATTCACGTAATGTCTTGGAATTGTGCTGAGTTATTCATTGATGTGTTCAGATATTGTACACAAGAAATGGTTTTGATCCGCTTATTATGTCCATTTCTGTAATGATTTGATTACAGTGCCTATCTAATTTTGAATTCGTACTGACGTTTTTTTTTGCTGCTGAGTATATTTATGATCATTATTTATGAATTATTTTGTTCTGCACAATATGTTAGTCTAGACCATAGGCTACAATCCTTATGTAGGTGACATGTGTGGCAGTTGGACTCCAGAGAGTGTCTGTGTCTTGGTCCCCCCCACAATGATACACACATAACATGTGGTGTCACCTTGGGTAACTGACTGTGTTTATATAATGTTGACATTCACCTTGCTACCTGGTAGTATGAGACTCATGAGACTGATAACCTTCTAGTGAATTACAGGCATCTTAGGTGTAAACTTCTCACTGAGCTGAGAATGAGTGAGTGAGTTTAGTTTTACACCGCACTCAGCAATATTCCAGCTATATGGCGGCGGTCTGTAATGAGTATGGACCAGACAATCCAGTGATCAACAGCATGAGCATCGATCTGCACAATTGGGAACCGATGACATGTGTCAATCAAGTCAGCGAGCCTGACCACCCGATCCCGTTAGTCGCCTCTTACGACAAGCATGGGTTGTTGAAGGCATAATACCCCGGACCTTCACGGGTTAGCTGAGAATGAATGAGTGCAAATGTAGCCATATATGGGTTTAACAATGTCAGTACTTTGAGCTATTGCCTTGTGTATGGAAGCTACTGCAATATCAATACACACACCATTATTATTCTATCTAGTCCACATGTTCATGTTAACACATCAAACATGACTGCAGGACACATTCATGTGGTACAACGTGAAAGGTTTTGGCACGGACTGGGGTTACCCATCCTATTTGTGAAGGAGTGAGGCGATGACTTTGAATGTTTCAAATAGTAGTGTGTTGATAGACCCCAGTGCCAACTTTTGGATCATTATGTTACCAATATTATTATTATGTGAAACCCATGAACATAGGAATGGTGCTGGCACCAAGTTTAATAATCAGGGAGAATTGGGCATCAGTCCTCTGTGTCCCTCCTTCTACATGACGTAGCTCACCTGTAGAAGTAGCTCACCTGTAGCACTTGCTCGTGACTGTCATCATCAGGACACACTCGTAGCATCCTGGCCGCTTGTACAGGAACAGCCATTCCTCACGATTTATCACTTGGAAGCTGAAATATTCAACAATTTCATCAGATATAATTACTGAACGTGTAAGGTTATTTTCAAGTTTTAAATGATAATCAAGTTCAACTTAACACAGCAATTAACTACTTCAAAATACATTGTATACCTGACATTTTGTAGAGATATCAGGCTGAAGATCAATTCATCAAAGAATCCCACTGTGAACAACACAACGATATTGAACCCCATAGAGATCTGACAGCCTATCAGTCAGGTAGTGAAGGAACAAGACATCAACATGAGACTAAGGAAATCTGGAGCATACAAAGATGGAATTACACTTTTCAAATTAATTCAGTTGTCTTAAGTGCTGAGCTACAGATAACTTTTTGGGTCATTGAGTAATGTACTCTCTTGTGTTCATCTCAATTGGGTATCCTAATTTTCCTTTGAGTAACCAAACAAATTGTACCCACCTTACTCAAACTCAATTGGGTATTTTGCCATTAATTGCAAAAATGTAATAAAATTTAAATGTTGGTTTACGTATTTGTTATCTATATTAATCTGTAACATGAGAAACGATAAGAAAGACTGCAAGTTGCCAAGTTCATATGCTGAAATAGAAGCAAGAGTTTGATCAAACAAGATTTGACATTTTTGTGTGTTCGCATGTAAGATCATGTAAGTATTTTCAAAAGTTCATGCATACTTGTAGGCAATAGACTTAATAGGAATTGAGTTTTCACATAAATATTTGCGTAATTTACTCAGATACGCAGCTTATCTGTACCTCTGTAAGTGTTAACAAACAAAAGGGTAAACTATTAATGGTATGGCTGAACAATGTTCCTGGTGCTTTATGTGTACACTAAGACAAATGTTTAAATTAAAGAACCTTGTGATGATGTGTGCCCAATATGTGTTCCCATCAGAGGCGGTGGGGCAGCCTAGTGGTTAAAACGTCCACTCGTCATGCCGAAGACCTAGGTTCGATTCCATACTTGGGTACAATGTGTAAAGTCCATTTCTGGTGTTTCCAGCTGTGATATTTCTGGATTATTGCTAAAAGCGGGGTAAAACCATATTCACTCTCACCCCATCTATATCCAACCCCTCCACCTTTTCCTAAGCCTGTAGATATACCAAATATACCAATGATGGTACAGTGACGTACCCCCTGTATGTATCAGCATTGCTGGCTTGAACCTTGTATGGGTTGATGTTGGCCGAGGCAGCATTGATAATGCCACCGACAAAGTTCTTCAGCAAACCAGCCATTGTATCAGGTCTCTTATCATAGACTTACTTGGCTGGAGTAGACGGTACACATACCCTGAAAACAGCAACACACAGCTTACTTCCAGTGTGTTAAGACAATTGTTAAGACAAATGTTCACAAAATTGAAAAAAAATGAAAAGCTTGGTCAAAGCTGTGCTGTGATGTCTCGTCACATTGAGGGAACTATTGGAGAAGGTTGAAGAAAGCATAGAATAATTTTACCCATCCTCGTATACAGCTCTGAAATTTGGGGATATCAAAATATGTCATGTATTGAAAGTATTCAACTTTATTTTTGCAAACAATTACTAGATCTTTCAAGTAATACTAGTAATGCTGCAGTACTTGGTGAGTCAGGAAGGTATCCGTTATATGTAACGTACGTAACAAAATGTATTAAATACTGGTTGAAAGTATTGTCCATGCCAGATTGTAGATATCCACTTATTTGTTATAAAATAACGTAATCTCTTGATAATGTTGGCAGACAAACATGGGTTGGATTTGTTAGAGACATTTTGTTTGAGTATGGTTTTGGTTTTGCTTGGCTTAATCAAGGTGTTGGAAATGCGCGTATGTTTTTAAATTCTTTTGTACAAAGACTCAAAGATGTCTCTTTGTAAATAATTATGTAATATAAATGAAAATGTTAAATTAAGTTTCTATGAGAAATTTAAGTTCTCACTTCAACCTGAACAATATTTGATTAACATAAAAACACAACTTTTTAAATGGTTTTTGACTAAATTTTGCTGTGGGAACCATAATTTACGATTGAGTCAGGACGTTGGGAAAGTGTCTCAGTTGAAAATAGAGTGTTTACACTGTGAAAAGATTTATTCAATAAGATTGCTTGAGGATGAAAAACATTTTCTTTTAATTTGTCCATTGTATGAAAACTTAAGAAATGAATACATACATATTGCAAAATATTATTAAAATGTAACTAATATCATGTCAATTTGTAACAAGCAGCACGTGTGGAAGTTGGGAGCTTTTTTATTTTACAGCTTTAAATTAAGACAAAACTGGATTGAAAACAATAGTAAATGATTTAAATGTATCATGTAAGCATATTTAAACGTTGTTGGCAAATCAATCCAATATATGTCATATATCATAACTTACATAATGAGGTACTCTGTCAAGTATATTAAAGGACTATGTATGTGAATTATGGGCCAGATGGCCTACATTTCTGAAATAAAATCAATCAAATCATGAAAGCAGAAGTTAGGTTTATATACAGAGGCCTTAATATAACACATCTACACAAAGATACCATAATATGACATATATGCAGACACCTTATAAGACACCTGTATGTACAGACACCTTAACATAATGCACATTCATAAATATATAAACACTTAAACAAGACACATACACAGACATCTCAGTAAAACTCCTCTATGACACCTGTACATATCACAGAAAAACACATATACACACAGATACCTTAACATGGCCTGTGTGTACAGACAACATAGCATAACACCTGTATACATACACATCCAGACACGTTAACATGACACCTGTATACCATGAAACAAAACACATACAGAGACACCTCAACATGACATCTGTACACAATGAAACAAAACACACACATACACACTCATCAACATGACACCTGTATACAATGAAACAAAACATACACAGACACAACATGGCACCTGTATACAACACATCAACAGACACCTGGCACCTGTATACAATGAAACAAAACACATATATACACAGACACCTTAACATGACACCTGTATACAATGAAACAAAACACACACATTTACAGACACCTCAACATTACACATGTATACAATGAAACAAAACACACACATTTACACAGACACCTTAACTTGACACATGTATACAATGAAACAAATCACATATAGACAGACACATCAACATGGCACCTGTATACAATGAACCAAAACACACATTTACACAGACACATCAACATGACACCTGTATACAATGAAACAAAACATACACAGACACCCCAACATGGCACCTGTATACAATGAAACAAAACACATATATACACAGACACCTTAACATGACACATGTATACAATGAAACAAAACACACACATATACAGACACCTTAACATGACACCTGTATACAATGAAACAAAACACACACATTTACAGACACCTCAACATTACACATGTATACAATGAAACAAAACACACACATTTACACAGACACCTTAACATGACACATGTATACAATGAAACAAAACACACACACACAGACACCTCAACATGACACCTGTATACAATGAAACAAAACACACATATACACAGACACATCAACATGACACCTGTATACAATGAAACAAAACATACAGACACCCCAACATGGCACATGTATACAATGAAACAAAACACACATTTACAATGACACATCAACATGACACATGTATACAATGAAACAAAACACACACATTAACAGACACCCTAACATGACACATGTTTTTACACAGACACCTTAGTAAGACATCTGTATACAATGAAACAAAACACACACATATACACAGACGCATTAACATGACACATGTATACAATGAAACAAAACACACATTTACACAGACACCTTAACATAACACATGTATACAATGAAACAAAACACACACATTTACAGACACCTAATTAAGACACCTGTATACAATGAAACAAAAAACACATTTACACAGACACCTTAACATGACACCTGTATACAATGAAACAAAACACATATATACACAGACACCTTAACATGACACATGTATACAATAAAACAAAACACACACATTTACAGACACCTCAACATTACACATGTATACAATGAAACAAAACACACACATTTATACAGACACCTTAATAAGACACCTGTATACAATGAAACAAAACACACACATTTACACAGACACCTTAACATGACACCTGTATACAATGAAACAAAACACATATACACAGACACCTTAACATGACACATGTATACAATAAAACCAAACACACACATTTGCACAGACGCCTTAACATGACACATGTATACAATGAAACAAAACACACACACCTCAACATTACACCTGTACACAATGAAACAAAACACACACATTTACACAGACACGTTAGTAAGACACCTGTATACAATGAAACAAAAAAACACATTTACACAGACACCTTAACATGACACCTGTATACAATGAAACAAAACACATATATACACAGACACCTTAACATGACACATGTATACAATAAAACAAAACACACACACATTTACAGACACCTTAACATGACACATGTATAATGAAACAAAACAAACATATTTACACAGACACCTTAACATGACACCTGTATACAATGAAACAAAACACACACACACCTCAACATTACACCTGTATACAATGAAACAAAACACACACATTTACACAGACACCTTAGTAAGACACCTGTATACAATGAAACAAAAAACACATTTACACAGACACCTTAACATGACACCTGTATACAATGAAACAAAACACACACACATATACACAGACACCTAAACATGACACCTGTATACAATGAAACAAAACACACATTTACACAGACACCTTAACATGACACAAGTATACAATAAAACAAAACACACACATTTGCACAGACGCCTAAACATGACACCTGTATACAATGAAACAAAACACATATATACACAGACACCTTAACATGACAGTTGTATAAGCTCACAACTGACTACACAGACACCTAACTGGATACATGTGTATAAAATGAAACATACATGAGACATATGTACAGATACCTTCATGTAATGTATACACAAATAGCTAAACATGACATCTGTATACAGACTGCACCTCAACACATCATGTCACATGCATTCAGACAAAATCTCCAGTTGGGACTGGACATGGACATTTATGTACAAGTCTCACAAGATGTGTGCCATTTCAGCGTGATCCCACTTCATGTCCAAACTAACACCATAACAATATGTACCATGAGAAGTGAGGCACTGTCTAATTATTAATTTGCGGTTACTATTATGACTTGAGTGTAGAAATGTATAAAAGATGTACTCATGGTTGTTCTAAGGACCTACTTCAATCTTGTGCACAGTGAAATTGCAGAAAACTACAGTACAACTGTGTCTATGCCATTTAAACAGGCGAGGTATTTATAGGCAATACAATGATTATGCGGGATATTTATTGCCTTATTATCCAACATAGCTATGTGAATATTCGTGCGTGACGTTCACCTCAATACAGTAGCTCAGCTGTACTCAATCCCTTAAGCTGTCATTTCCTTGTTACCGGTGTTTGTATGAACATAATTCCCTCAATATGACGCCACAATGCGGAAGTCGCATGACACCGTGCCTCAGATTCTTTCTGTCACCTCAAACGACAGGAGAGTGGAGACGTGAGAGTTACCTCCCTTAGACCATCTTTTTCTCAAGGATCGACACGCGACCGGCTGCATCTTTCATCTGAAGATATATTAACAAAGACCGGGAAAAAGTACATTCATGTGACGCATTGCCGAGATAAATGGATAACAGTCTCATGTACATGATGGTCAGATCATAGTTAAGGATAAATACAAGGAGATAATTATATGGATATACAAATTTATGACACTGAGACCCGTGAAGAACCGGGCTAAAATTTGTCTTCAGTAACCCATGCTTGTCGTAAGAAGCGACTAGCGGGATAGGGTGGTCAGGCTCGCTGACTTGGTTGACACATGCCATCATATCCCAATTGCGTATATCTATGCTCATGCTGTTGATCACTGGCTTGTCTGGTCCAGATTCGATTATTTAAAATTACAGACCGCCGGCATATAGCTGGAATATTGCCGCGGCGTAAAACTTAACTCACTCACTCGCTCACTCTTTATGACGATGAGACGTTTCGGTGTAGATACTACACGAACAGATATGACAAGTAACCTCTGTGGGAAGAGAATAAATACACTCTTGCAAAGTCAAATCATGTGTACACCTAAAAAAAAGCACTGGAACAGAACAATAACATTTTATAAGCATTAGTATTGATGAAACAACTTTTGAGCAAGAGCCGGGAGCTCTTCATAGGAGATGCAAGCTCGATTGTACTTAGAAAGTGTGAAATGTAGACACCAGGAGCTGGAGCTGTTGGAATATCGCTCAACAAAGATAACTGACGTTTAGAAGGTTTGAACTCATCCAACTTGTCATACAGTCTTGAAGAAGGAGTTCCGTCACTCTGTAAGTTTATGGTGGCGGTGGGGTCTGATGTCCCCGGCCGTGATATTGCTAAAATATTGCTAAAAGCGGCGCAAAACTTAACTCAATCACTCACTCATTCACTGAATGTCAGTATGCATAGATCCAATTGGTTTATATCAAATACGTTGGTTTCATTTGTGTTTAGTTCATGTGGAAGAACACAAGCTGTTTAAGCAGCGACACGTCATTAACTGCGTCTTTAACTGCATGGTGTTCAGCTACCTTGATTACAAAATGTCCACATGAGTATAAGGAAATATGGAAACATTTACTTTCTAGAATACATCTAATAAAATGCTAAACTTCTCGAAAAAACGTTCTAACGTTGTTACCAACGGTATCTAACCCGTGAAGATCCGGGTTAGAATTGGTCTTCAGCAATCTATGATTGTCGTAAGAGGCGATTAACGGGACTTGGCTGACACGTGCGTAGATCGATGCTTATGCTGTTGACCACTGGATTCCCTGGTCCAGACTCAATTATTTACAGACGGCCGCCATATAGCTGTAACATTGCTGAGTGTGGAGTTAAATAAATACAAACAAACAATGAAGTATACATGAGACTTCCAGGAATTGTACCCATGTTGCACTGTTGCCATGCCAAGCTCATCCGCCTATGGCGGGTCAATACAGACTACATGAAGCGTGTCCAACCTGGATTCCAAACAAGTCATCCAGTACATGTATATAACGACCCCCATTAAACGTAAACTATACTGATTCACCCTGGAATCAATCGATTACTGCGAGGAGGGACATATCCAGTAACTGTCTACAGCCGGTTTCTTATACCTGTAACGCTTTCTGGGCTGTCGACTAGCCTACATACAGTGGAGGTGAAGTGAGGTGAAATGGAGTTTAACGTCGTACTTAAGAACATTTCGCTCATATGACGACGTGCATGCGTGTGCATGTGTAGCTGCTTGTACTAACCCAGACTTGAGTTGGTTTTATAGTACTTGCTCACTGAGATACCATGCCGTACAGTCCGTTTGAGACAAAATGATACCGATGAACTGCAATCTAACACAAAAACAACTAGACATAGAAGTATCAAACCAACGCGGAGTGCAATAAAAACAACCACCAACTCTAGGAAAAAATTGCATAATTTTTGTCACGAAAATAAAAAAGTTGTTTAAGAAACTGTCATCGTTTATTTGTGCGTTTTTCAAGTTTGTTACAAGGGCGCAGTGGCAACGAAAGGAACAGCGCGAAATATTAACTAAAGTTTGACAACACATGTTGTTGAAATTGTAAAAGTTGTCAAACTCGCGTCAAACACATGTTGTCAACGTTCTTGTCATTTGAGCGCCATGTCACTATCGGTGCGGTCACGTGACCATTTCGTTGACTACGATTGGTTGTTTCTGAACAACACAAGTTTGACAACACTTCACACGACAAACTCGAGTTTGACAACACCAAAAATTTGATGGAAAACTTGGTGAGAATAGAGACCGATCCTATTTCTCGACAACAGTTTGACAACTCTGAAATTGGTGTTGGTGGCGAGTTGTTGGAATGTTCACACACTCAAACTCGAGTCTGACAACATGTGTTGTCAAGCTTTAGTTTGCCGTGTGAAGGCCGCTTAAGATGACCACCGCTACCACGAGTCGAATGTAGTTAAGTTTTGAAAGCAATCAGGAACTGTTTACGAAAAAGGAACGCATGTGCAAACATACAAAACTACATTGTGAGGAATAAAAACTTGTCGTCAGCACGCGTGCAAGTTACGTTATGTCAGATTGTATTACCCATAACTAAAAACTAAAAACTGTTACAAAATCAGAAAGTGTGTTATTTAGGACATGAAACGATATAGTTTAGATAGCAAGCATGTTATGTCTACGAAAGATACAGGTTAGTTGAACACAGACCAGTAATGTTCGTTTTAAAGACAGAATGTTTGAGAAGGTAATCATACGTGACGGTGATGACATTGTAACGTTGCTGGGAAACGTTATGGGACCACTGGTTACTTTTAACAACATTTCCTTCTGTAGTTTAATACAGCATCGACGCAGAAAAACACCCGGATGATCACTTTAGCTAAACAAAATGTAATTTATGTTTTGTATTTTGCGTTTAAGTGACAGTTAGAATTGTCCATGACGTTACATGGCAAACCCCAAAGACAGAATAAAATCACGCGTTGGTACCCGTTTGAATTTCTGCAATGCCCGTTCTGTGGATTCCATTGTGTCGATCATGCGACTTTTTCACCGTAACGTTAACTATTAAAGGTGTTGCGTAAATTCATACGAATATTTCTTTCGGAATTATTACTTAAGATGATAAAAATATTTAACATGCTGATGAAATTGAGGTGTACGTTTTGTCAACTATACAGATTGTTCTTTAACTTACACTAAATAAGGATAGATCCAAAAGTAAACACATGTTTATTCCAATGTGTCATTGTGTGATTGTTGCTTGTAGATATCTCAATGTTGCACGACTATCTTGGTCATGTTTCCAGAACAATTTTCACTTCTCTTTCGATTACATATCTGGTGTAAAGATCTTTGCTGTTTTTGTCGTAAGTTACAACGTAATATATGCCACGCTGTAGAACTGAAAGATGGTGATTCCATGGCAAGTTTCTGATTTTAATCTTTGATACAATGTAAATATGGTATGCGTGGTTCCGTCAATTCTGGATTTTGAACAGGTATCATGTGACGTCAACAATGTGACTACGCTTTACTGAGTACACATTCCTTTTGTTTTTCAGATGAATTAATTGTTTCCTTTTTCGATGTTTGAATCAACAAAGAACAAAGAGTTCATTTTCTCGCAGTTTATGCTGATACTACTAATTACCCATGAACGTAAATTACTCGGGTGTTTACGGGTACCTTACTTCAAACAAGAGTGCTGCAAGTTTAATACTGTTCACTCAGTGCTTAGAAAGTATAAACTGTTCATTCACAAGTTGTAGTTTTGGAAAATGGACATTTTTCTTAAACTGACATGATTTTGTTTTTCGGCACTATTCTCTCTGATCGAACCCGGGACTTCGGGGTGAACGCCTTAACCACTAAGCTATTCCACCGCAACTGTGACACCTGTATGAGATACAACACCATATAATAACCATGTCTTGTTGTGTTAACATTTTAGCATCCAGGAAATATGTGTGTTGCGTTATAAATAATGAACTGATGATGCTATACGTTGTTGTTTGCTTGATCCTATTCTACTGAGACACCTCACTGTGCCTGCACCTATTGTTCTAGGTAAACAGCGGGGGCATTAGTTGTAGTCTCTTGCAGTAAGGTACACTTGAAAATTAAGAAAAAACTCCTAAAATACTTTGTTCACATAATTTATTCATGGCATTGTACACATTGTACACATCCATCCATATATTAGTAACATACATAACATAACATAATATTTCCACATATGTTTCACTTGACAATTTGTTAACACTTACAGATAGTGAGTGAGTTTAGTTTTACGCCGCACTCAGCAAGATTCCAGCTATATGGCGGCGGTCTGTAAATAATCGTGTCTGGACCAGACAATCCAGTGATCAACTGGGAACCGATGACATGTGTCAACCACGTCAGCGACCCTGACCACCCGACCCCGTTAGTCGGGATAGGTTACTGAAGATCAATATTCTAACCCGGATCTTCACGGGTCTTTAACATTTACAAACCAACCAAATGCAGCACAGCATCAGCACATATACTGGGAGTTTACCTCCTGGCAAACAAGTCATTTGCATGACTGCTCTTTCTTGATCATGTGTACAAACTTGAAGATGTTTGGATGGTTGGGACCTGATTCGTTTAGTATTGAGTGCCAACCTTCCAAGGGGTTGGTGGTCCTGGAACCGTTTGTAAAAAGTGGTTCCAAACACTACACCCATCCACCTTTACCCACTGTTCAGTTAGGTGGTCAGTGAAGCTCTCAATCCTAGCAACCTTACGGTCCACATTCTCAAGGGCATTCATCCATGTCGTCTATGTCACGTGGCTGGATGAGGGGCAGGGCAGAGGCATGGCGGATGAGTGTATTTACACTGGGATCATTGTTGAAGAGTGTCTGGAGACCACATTTCTTAGCATGTCTCCAAATGGCTTGACGGTAGTG